TCTGACACTTTCCCTGCAGCACACAACCACAAGGGGCCCACTGAGGATGGGAGAGTCACCTCTGACCCTGTTCTGTTTTTGTGAAGTCAGGGGTAACTGGTCAAGGTGGGAGAAGGGGGATTTCTTTAGAGAGGAGGCTAGGTGGCTGAATTATGAAAGTAATGATCCTATTTTAGGGGCAGAGGAACAAATAGTATTTTTTTTCTGTGGCCGATCTAACTTAGATCCTGCAGAAATCAATTTTCTCCTGATCTATACAGAATAGACATAAAGACAACTGGTGAACGTCCATTAAATTTTTATATGATTATTTCAGTAATCTTGTAGGTCTGTGTCCTCTCTGTAACAGAATTGGCAGTGCATTGTGCTTGGTTCCTAAATAAATGCCATTTCTACAGAAGGAAGACCATGAGTGATGATGATTTAAAAGACAATTCCTGGCTTGAGTCTCATCAGTAACTTTGGACATGTTAGTCTATTTGGGGGACTTTTTTTTTTTTGAGCCAGAGTCTCACTATGTCACCCTTGGTAGAGTGCTATGGTGTCACAGCTCACAGCAACCTCAAACTCTTGGGCTTAAGCAATTCTCTTGCCTCAGCCTCTTGAGTAGCTGGGACTACAGGAGCCTGCCCCAATGCCCGGCTATTTTTTGGCTGCAGTTGTCATTGTTGTTTAGCAGGCCCAGACTAGGCTTGAACCTGCCAGCTTTGGTGTATGTGGCTGGCGCCCTAACCACTGACCTACAGACGCTGAGCCCCTTTGGGGGACTTCTTATCCCCCTCTTACCCTTTCTTGTTTGCATCTTCAGAGGCACAGTATTTTATCTTAAATTCAGGACAAAAATATCTTCTTGGCAGTGATATTATAAAGATTAAATGAGATAATGTATGCATGTGCCTGGCACCTGCAAAGTTTAAGATAGTAAGACTGGGTGTCTGGGTATCTATGATGAACCTTAACAGGGCAGCTCCATCAGTCAGGTCCAGAAGGCCACAGTCTGGGGGTAACAGTATGGGGGTACTGCAGGAGACTCAGGCAAACTGAGTCTCTGAGCCACATAGATGAAACAAGATGGCAGCTCCTAAGGGTGGAGAGGTGCCAGGTGCCAGCAATGGGCTGCCAGTGGTTTGTTCCATTCTCCCCCTCCAGCAGCTCTGACGCTTGGGCTGCTGACAGCTCCATTAGGGGCTGAGGAGTGAGTCAGACAGTGTGGGACAACCTTGCACAAGTTCAGAGCTTGGGTTTTACTGCAGAGCTCTCTGGCTGTTTCACCCAGGGTTTGCAGGATTTCCTTTTTCCTAGTCCCAGCGCCAGACAAGGACATTCTGGGCAGAAAGAAACTATCAGTGTGCACAGGAAGAACAGCAGCTTCTTAATCAGTGCAGGGGACAGAGCCCAGCTGAAGCATTTTTCTGCTCTCATTTAATTATCAAAATGATTCCTCTTCTTCTGTCCTCCCCAGGGCTGCGTGCCCCAGATTCCCTGGGCCCAGTAATTGCCTCTCTGTTAATAGAAATCATCAGTATTTATTACACGGAGCGGGCCAGCTTATTTCAGTTCTCCTTGTAGCAACATTAAGGGGAGTGCTTGGTATCTTATCACTAAAGTGACTCTACTTAATGACAAGAGTAAAGGCTCCCAGACTGTTTTCTCTTTGCTTGGGAGGGTAAGGAGACCATGAGCCAGAGCCTAATGGAAGGAGCTAAGGGGTGTGAGTAGGAGCTTCAGCAGGGGCCCTGCCATGGCCTGAGGGAGCAAGAGGAAGAGGCCAGGGACAAGGGCCCCACGGGATGAGCACTCCCACTTTCCCAGAGGAAGTCTCCCAGGGGTGGCTTCTGACCTGTAGATGGTAAATGGCAATGGTCAGCAACTTGCATTCAAACTCTTTTTTTTTTTCCTGAGACAAAGTCTCATTCTGTCCCTCTGGGTAGAAGGCTATGGCATCATCACAGTTTGCTGGAACCGCAAACTCTTGGGGTCAAGCAATCTTCCTGCCTTAGCCTCCTCAGCAGGGACTACAGGCACCCGCCATGATGCCTGGCTAGTTTTTCTATTTTTCTTTTTAGACAGAGTCTCACTTTGTCACCCTTGGTAGAGTGCTGTGGTGTCACAGCTCACAGCAACCTCAAACTCTTGGGCTTAAGCGAGTCTCTTGCCTCAGCCTCCCGCGTAGCTGGGACTAAAGGCACCTGCCACTGTGCCCAGCTATTTTTGTTGTTTGTTTGTTTAGCAGGCCCAGGCCGGGATCAAACCCACCAGCCCTGGTGTATGTGGCTGGCACCCTAACCACTGAGCTATGGATGCTGAGCCAGTTTTTCTGTTTTTAGTAGAGATGGGGTCTCCCTCTTGCTTAGGCTGATCTCGATCTCCTGAGCTCAAGCAGTCTACCCTGCCTCGGCTTCCCAGAGTGCTAGGATTATAGGCATGAGCCACTGAGCCTGGCCAAGTTCAAACTCTTGCTGTACTACCCAGGGCTTGTGAACTTTGGCTTCCCAGAACACCAGCCTTCTTGTCTGGTGAATAATATCCACTCCCAAGACCTAGCATGAGGGCTAAATGAGAAAACAATGTGAAGATTGCCTGGGGCTCGCCATGAACACCTCCTCCCTCCTCTCTTCATTTTTCCCTCAGGAGGTAATCCTGGGATATTTGGGACTGGGCAGCACGCACTGCCTGGTATGAATTCTGGTTCATCCCTACAGACACTTCAGAATGTGACTGGAATGTATTTGGAAACGGGATCTTTACAGATGGAATAAAATTCATCTGAGGTCACTGGGATGGGCCTCTCTGTGTCCAGTGATGAACAAACTCATCAAAGACAAGGCTGTGCCAGGAGCCTCACATCCTGGGGGCATGTGGATTGGGGCTGGAAACCAGATTGGTTGCCACAGTATCTTCCAGATGTCCATGGGAATAGTGGAAATCCCCACCCACCTCCCTGTGCTATGTTCAAGCTCCCAGTCAGCCCACCTCTGTCACCCCTGCCCAGGGACCCGTCTCGGGCCTCGAGGAACTAGGCAGGTTGGGGTCAAGCGCAGAGCTGACCTGGCACCTGCTGCTAACCATATCTATCTCTAGTCAACTATGTCTTACAAGGTCCTAGAGTTCAGGGAGCACAGGTGTTGAACACCCATGATGTTCTTCCACACAGATGAAGAAAGCGGAGCTCAGAGAAGGCTCCAAAGGCCCCAGTGAGCAGGAAAAAAGGACTGTGGCCTAGGGCTAGCTGGCTCCAAAGCTCTCTTCGCTCCTGTGTAGGGCCCATGCACACTGTACCTGAGCAACTTCTGGAGGGGTTTATACTACATCTGTTATGCAGAGGACATTATTTAGGAAGTTTTGCTAATGTGTCAATACCTATATGTTAATTCTTTTTTTTTTTTTTTTTTTTTGCAGTTTTTTTTTTTGGGGGTGGGGCCGGGCTTGAACCCGCTGCACCTGGTATATGGGGCCAGTGCCCTACTCCTTGAGCCATAGGCGCCGCCCTATATGTTAATTCTTTGCTGTAAATAGGCCTGAATGTGTTTTCTGACAACATGGGAAGGAGAACATAGGGGTTACTGGCAGCAGGCTATGCTAGTGGATAGGCAACTGTGGGGTAGAGAAGATGACCAGCATTTCTGAGTGCCAGCATGTTCTCAAGGTTCATGTTACATCCTAAGTAAGAACAAATCACTGTCACCTCACTGAGGGGATGAGGAAAAAACACTGTTTTGTCCCCAGGACACAGTGCTTGTTTCTATTCTATTTGTAATGAGCTAGATTATCTCCTCCTCAAAAATTCATATGTTGTTGTCCTAACCCTACAGTACTTCAGAATGTGACTGTATTTGGAGACAGGATTGGAGTGGGCCTTAATCCAATATAACTGGTGTCCTTATAAGCAGAGGAAATTAGGACACAGATGGATATAGAGGGAAGACAATGTGAAGACACAGGGAGAAGACGGCCATCCACACACCAAGGAGAGGGTCCTGGAAAAGACCCTTCTCTCAAAGCTCTCAGGAGGAACCAACCCTGCTGACTTCTTGACCTCCACCCTCTGACTTCCAGAACTGTAAGACAATAAACTTCTGTTGTTTAAGCCGCCCTGTCTGTAATACTTCATTACAGCAGCCCTAGCAGCCTTCAGAAACTAATATACTATTCATTTAATTTTTGCTTGAAACTTACAGTGTCCCTTCTCCTGTCAGGAAGAAAATGTTGATGTCTTCCTGGTCCCAGCTGATCTCCTTCAGATCAGTTTGACAATTGGTTTTACTAGTGGTACTGGATCCTCTCCAGTAACAGAAAGGGGAAGGCTAAAATGTAGAGAAACTGAGGCAGAGACCAGGAGTGTCAAAGCAACAGGGATAGGAATTGAAGTGGAGGGACACAGCCACAGAGAGCAACAGGAAGAGGCCATGGGTCTCCACTGCCCTCAATGGTGACTGTTTTCCCGTGTTCATCTCGGAAATGCCAGACATACATGAGTAATTATACAGGTTTTCTCTGGGCACAGCCTCCCTGGCTGTTGCAATCCATCCCTCACAGGCACATAATAGAATTAAATGTGACTCCACTGCGGTTCTGTGCAGTGACTTATGCCACTGCAGTCAATAAAACCCACTCTTGGAAAGAAACTAGATTATGGGTCAGGGAAGGCTGGGGAGTTGCTGAGCTGCCTCTGATCATTCCCTGTGGGGAGCCTTCCACATTCCTCCTCTTTTAATTTCTACCAGATTACCCACTGCTGCCTAAGTGGGGCCCCAGTTTTGGATTTGTTATTTAGATTGACTTTGCCTCAGATCCTCTGACATTGATGTGGCACCACAAAATTACACAACATGGAATCCAGAGGAGTTTTCACACTGAGACTTTTTCTCTGGCATTGGTCACTGCAGGAGCCAGTTCTGCAGCCACTGAAGGGTGCCCATAGGTGTAGGCATGTGACCTCTTGCGCCTGTTGCCCTCTAGAAGAGGTGGCTGGTGTAGTCTCTGACCATGGGGACTCTTACCTTACATGGGTGAGGATCTACTCCATAAGTTTCCAAGGTCTGTGCTTTCCTTAAGAAGTTCAGCTCTGATGTTGCTGGTGTTTGACCACTGGAATAAAGAAAATGACACGATTTCAGGGGTTTCTGTTCCTCACAGGTTCTCCTGAGGTAACAGATCTTTTAAGAAGTGCTCAGGGGGAAGCCACACAGCTCAATTTTTCCATAGACTGTGTTTCCTGCTTGATTCTAGGACCAACTTCAGAGACTCCTGCCCATCAAAAACCTCAAATGTCTTCAGAGTGAAGCAGGCTATGTGATGAATTGCTGGACTGTATGGACAATAGGGAGTGGTGGGGACTGTGGCAAACTGGGGAGTGTTCCTCCTACCTAATGAGCACAGCTGTTCTTTAGTTCTCAGATTTCTGTCACGTGGGAATGCAGGGCCCAGCATTGCTAGATGCTTTTTTAAAAAATCAGAAATACTGACTTTTATGTGCACTTCACAATTTTAAATACTATGGGGACAAACACCCCATCCCTTACATCTGTAGGCTGAATGCAGGTTTCTCATCTGCAATCTGATCTGGACTGAAATACAAAGAAGGGGGTCTGTGTATCTTGCTGGTGCCACCCAGCCCTCTCCCTTTAACAAAAGGAAGCATGAGAATGTAGGTGAGGAGAAGCAGTTGGAGACAGACTGAACCCCATACTCCACACTCACTCTGTCTGTCCATAGGGTGATGACAATGAAAAGGATACAAACTGAAAAAGGAAGAAGTCAGCCCTGGCTCCAAGCCATTTAGAAGGCTGCCTATAGTCTCCCTTCCTGCTGCCTCTTTAGCAGGTGTGCTGATGAGCTAGATGCAGAACCAGTGGTGGTGTCACCAGTGGCCTCTCTCATGGCTCCGTGCCCTGCCAAGCAGATGCACTTCTACAAATAGTGGTGTTGTGAATCCAGACTTCTGTGTCCACCAGCATGTCTAAGACACAGGAGGGGGTTGGGAACATGCCTGTGCAGCAGGCAAAGGGCTGGGCCCCAGAGGTGGCTAGAGCTTTGCTGTCCTTTCCAGGGAGCTTCCTCATTCCCTGTCTGCAAGGTGGAAGGCCCTGTGGACTCTATTCACCCCTAGAGTCTGCCCAAGCCTCCAGGCTCTCAAAGTGGGCATCATGTACTGGGGATCCCCTGTCTCGAACTAGGTTTCTAGAGGACTATCTCCACTATTCTGACATCCAAAATCCTCCAGGAAGTTCCAGTATATCCCTGATCTTTTCTTTGAAGGAACCAATATGCTTAAGCCTTGCCACGAGAGGTCGCTGTTTCCCCAACAGAGGGGCTCGGTGCTGGGGAAGGTTGCACCTGCTCAGGGAGAGGGTGGGAAGCATCCATTCCTCTGGAAGCCCTAGGAACAGGTCCTGCCACACACATGGGTAGGGGGTCTATTTATAAAGGCTAAGGAGGCTTTGGGTTCTTTGCTGGTAAAATTGTTGAGTGAAGGGCTTTGAGAGGAGAGGTCAGGGAAGGAACTAGTTTAAGCTTAGTACTAGCATTAGAAATCCACCTTCCCTCTTCTCCTGCCAGGACTATTCCTTCCTCAGAAGAATAGATATGCAAACATTTTTTTAAAACTTTATAGAAATTGTCATGTTTTAAAATGATGATATGTTTTATTTTATAACATTGCATTTATTATATATACCTTTTTTCTTCATAGTTTGTCAGTTTGGGGAATCATGAACCCCTTCCCCCTTTAAAAAATTAACTAAAGTGCCACAAGATAGGAACTGTGGGCTCAGCACCTGTGGCTCAAGTGGCTAAGGTGCCAGCCACATACACCTAAGGTGGCGGGTTCGAATCCAGCCTGGGCCTGCCAAACAACAATGATGGCTGCAACCAAAAAATAGCCAGGCGCTGTGGCGGGTGCCTGTGGTCCCAGCTACTTGGGAGGCGGAGGCAGGAGACTTGCTTGAGCCCAGGAGTTGGAGGTTGCTGTGAGCTGTGATGCCACAGCACTCTACCCAGGGGGATAGCCTGAGGCTCTGTCTCCAAAAAAAAAAAAAAAAAAATAGGAACTGTGATAGGGGCCAGAACTCTGCAAAGGTATAGGCATAGTTAAAACACACAGATGGTGCCAAAAAAATGTATATGCATTTTAAGGAAGCAAAAAATTGTATTACATTTATAATACTCAATGAATACTGCAACAAAAGATGAATACAAGTCACATGGAACATGTCTTATAATTGCAGAAGTCAAACATGACTTAAGTATTATAAATGTAATACAGCTTTGTCCTTTCTTAAAATGCATATACATTTTTTTAGCACCCTCTCTATATACAACCAGCCATTGGTCGTGGTTTGCCTTCCAATGATTGCTACTTAGAAGTCACATCACTGATGGTCATAAGGATTCTTAGCTTTCATCACTGTTCCCATCACCCTTGTGAAACACAAGGCTAGCTTTTGAGATATCTGCCAGGGGATTAGTGGGCCCTCCCAGACCAGTTGCATATACTAAGGAACCGACTCAGCTGGTCTTGTGACCCCTATTCAAGAACTGACTCTACATAAGAAGGCAATTTCTACATCCCTGTGGTTCCACCCTAAACTCAGTCTATCAGCAGACCCAACTACCTAGCTCTTTACCTACCAAACTATGTTTAAAAACCCTTCCTCCCAAATTCTCAGGGAGACAGACTGGAGAACATCCTCCCATTTCCTGACATGGCATATGCAATAATAAACTCTTTCCCTGCTGAAACCCCTGCAGTCTCAGCATATTGGTTTCATCTTGAACAGTGAGCAATGAACCTGGTGAGGTGGGAGTATTCTGTGCTCCAGTGCAGGTGTCCCGAGGCCCGCAGTCTGGCCCTCCAATGGTCTGAGGGACAGTGAACTGGCCCCCTGTTTAAAAACTTTGAGGACCCCTGCTCCAGTGTGTCCACCAAGTGGAGCCTAAGAACCATCTCTATAGAAAATTCTACTTCATACAGGTAAAAGGCTTTACTGCTGCAGTTTCTTGGGATCCTGCATATTCTGAGCAAACTGAGAGACATTGGGGAAGACAAGGCTTCACACTGAAGCCACTTCCCCTCTACCTTCCTTGGTGCAGGGTCAGGGACTCCAGGCAGGGTGAGTGTGGTTGAGTTAGTGCTGAAGACACAGCCCCAAATCAAAATGCTCTCAGGGCACCCCCAGCATTCCTGACTCAGCCCAGTGGCAAGAAGTCACCTATTACGCTGTCACACCCTTTTTCACATCCCTACTCAACCTCTTCTTTTTCTTTTTTCTTGCTTACTGTTTCTTTTGTGTTTATCTTTTCCTTTTCCCCAATTCATGCCTCTTTCCTCTGTGTCTTCATTAAATATCTTGGTGGAAGAGCCACCCTCTATTTCCCCAACTTCTCTCTTGCCTTTAAGCCTCAGCCTAAACCACTACTGGAGAGTGAGCCGCTGGGGCTTGGGGCTATGCTATCAGCAGATCATTAAATATGGTACATCCCAGTGTCAGGAAGTCTGGGGGAGCAGGCACTACTCTGTGTCAGTAAGTGGTTTATGACAACAAAGGACCCAGCACAGAGCCTGTGTGCTCAGGCTATGGGAGAGTCACAGCATACAGCATCCTGGGCCTGAATGAGTGTCACGTACCTGAGTTCTGTCTTGTGAATCTCAGCAATTTTCCTTTCCAGCTTCTCTGAATGTTTGGGGAAAAACTGGAACTTGGAGCTGTAGCCTTCAGGGTGCTTCCCTGAGTCATAATCCCCAATCTCCGCTTTCAAAAGGAAGGCAGAAGAAAACAATTGTGAAAATAGGTAAATCATCACTGGCAAAGCAAGAAGAGATCACACAGAACAACAGCTAAATTACACAGCAGAGTCAGGAAGAATAGTGGACCCTCAGCAGGGCTGAGGGTTGGCAGAGGGCAGCCCCTGCAGGAACGTAGCCACCTGTTTCTTCCCACAGGTACACACCGGGTTGACATTCAAGTCTATGCAGAGAGACAGTGGAGTTGACCCTGTGTTCTAGGTTGCCACGAGTAAATCTGCAATAAAAGACCAAAAGCCTGCACCAGTCATCCATTCAGCCAGGAGAAGGGGGCTTGAAGCAATGTTCTTTGTGGCAGCACAAGAAACAGTGAGCTTGGTCAGGAAGACAGACCTCTTGGGCCTGAACCAAATCAAAAGTCTAAACCTCATTTGAAGGATTTTAGTGGGAGCACAGCAAATTGATGAATTAAGCCATGATCCAAATTCAGAACTCAACCCTCAGTCCAAATATAATCAAATGAATAAATTTGAATAAAAATTCATTAAGGGCTGACCTGGTGCCAGGCTCCTCTGAAAGGCCTGCAGAGCAGGAAGGCTGGCTGTAACCAGAAAGTGTCATTGAGTTCAAAAGCACCAAGTTCTGAGGCTGAGTTCTCAACTCCAGGCCAGGTGTGGGGCTTTCTCCTCCAGCCATTCACAGAGAAAGTTCATCTCTAAACCTGATGAGATCTAAGATTAGTGAGCTGTGGGAGGACAGAAGACCCCTGGTGCTTTCCACACCCAGGTCGGAACCCAGCTTCCTCCCAGGAAGAACTCTATAGGGCACAAGGTGGGTATGATAAAGGAAAGGCACAGGGCCTGGCTGTCTTGTGGTTGCTCTTCCTTCCCCAGTGAGAGCTTGAACCACTAGATGAGAAGTCTTGAGGGAGGGGGGAAGTATAAAGAGGAAAACACGCCCTCCTCTCCCAGCCGAATATTATATTTGGGGCTTATGCTTTTTCACTACAAAGCTACTAACTGTGCCTTCTAAATTACTTGGGAATTTGTACTGTTTAGCATGAGACTACAGGCTTCCCCAAGCCTGAAGTACAGGGTGACCTTGAGCCTCAGAGCCATTTATTACGATTTGATTTAAAAAGCTTCAAGTGGAAAACATCAACATGGGACATCAAGTAATTCTTTAAAGAAAAAGAAATAATTGCCAGGGTAAAACTGAAGGAATGGCTAGAGTTTAAAACTTCACTTAGGTCAGGCCAGGCTTTCTGTTTAAAAATGAAAGGGGCATTTTTTAGATACTTTAAAATTAGCAAGGACCCAAGAGACTTCCATTTAGGTGATTTTTTTTTTTTTTTTTTTTT